GAGTTTTCAACAGCTGTATTCCAGCACCGTCATCACCTATAATAATCATGTCACCCCCATAAAATAATAGAATAATGAAACCAGAAGAAGTGGATCGAAGGAAGAAAGCAGAATCGTGATCACTAGGCACAGAAGCCTGAATCACATATGACTAAAGAAAATTTTACAAATCATGCCCTTAGGGCCTGTTTAAGACCATATAAAGCCTTGTGAAATTTGCACACATGATCAAGATTACAAGGCAACCCATAAGGAGGAGGCATAAAGACCTCTTCAGATAAATCACCATGAAGAAAAGCGTTTTTCACATCCAGCTGAGAGAAGCTCCACTAACGAACAGCTCCCACAGCAATTATTGTGCAAATCGTGGTCATCTTAGCCACTGGAGCAAAGGTCTCATCGTAGTCAAGCCCATACTCTTGAGCAAATTCCTTGGCTACTAATCTAGCCTTGAACCTTTCCACAGAACCATCAGATTGAGTTTTTAATTTTATAAACTCACTTACAAACAATGGGACGTTTACCAAGAGGTAAAGGCACAAACTCCCAAGCTCAAGTCTTATGTAACGCAAAAAGCTCCTCATCCATAGCCTGTTGCCAAAGAGAATCAAGTATAGCCTCCTTATAGGAGGTTGGCTCAGACAGAGAATGTATAGAAGTCAGGAAAGAACAAAAATCAGAAGAGTAATAAGAGTTGGACCAACCAAACCTGTTAGGACACTTCTGAGTGCGCTGAGGGTAAGCGAGGAGTGTGATCCACGGTGTCAAAATTTGATTGGGAGCCAAGAGGTTCAGATGAAGGCACAACATCTGTGGAAGCGACAGTGGGAGTCTTGTGAACATAAGTATGCACAATCAAGGGACAGGTAACAGACACATCAGGCAAAGAGGAAGAACAAAAGGAGGGGGAAGATCAACCACATTCATATCACCAACATATGAGTCAGGGGAAACATTAGAGGGAAATGAATCAAGATAGATAAGATCAGATTGATGCAAAGATGAAGAACTAGATGAAATAGAGAAAAAAGGAATATGCTCCATAAAAATAACATGACAAGAAACATAGAATTTTTGTGTACTAGGATCATAACACCGAAATCCCTTTTGTCCCTTACCATATCCAAGAAAAACACNATGAAATAGAGAAAAAAGGAATATGCTCCATAAAAATAACATGACAAGAAACATAGAGTTTTTGTGTACTAGGATCATAACACCGAAATCCCTTTTGTCCCTTACCATATCCAAGAAAAACACATGACTGAGCGAACCGAGAGTTTGGTACGATTAACACTAGGTAGCAAAACAAAACATGTACATCCAAACACACGTAAGGAGAAATAATCAGGTGTCTTACCACATAATTTTTCAAAAGGTGAGACACCAAAATTAAGGATTGTAGGAATGTAATTAATTAGGTGAACTGCTAAAAGAACTACTTCTCCCCAAAAAGAGCTAGGGACACTGGATGACAACAACAAAGAACGAGCTGTCTCGATAATGTGACGATGTTTTCGTTCAGCCAGTCCATTTTGAGCAAGTGTATCGATACAAGAAGACTGATAAATAGTATCATCAGATTTCAACAAATCACGAAAAGAACTAAAAGAATATTCTCCACCTTGATCACACCGGAAGCATTTGATAATAGAATAATATTGAGTACGCGTCATATCACGACAAGTAGTGAAAATAGAAAAGAACTCAAACCTACGTGTCATCAGATACACCCAACAATATCTAGTATAATCATCAATAAAAGAAACATAATATCTAGACCCCCCCTTTAGTAACAATAGAAGCTGATCTCCAAATATCAGAATATACAAGATCAAAAGATGCAAGAGAACGAGAATTACTTTTATTGAAAGGTAATACAGTAAATTTAGCCAACTTGTAGCCATGATAATCTGAAATATCATGACACTCTAAACTACCAGTAGAAGCTAAAAATTTTAAACGAGAATGAAAAGCATGACCTAAACGAGAATGTCATAAATAAAAACTAGACGATGTTGGACTCAATTGAAAAGAAGATAAATCAACAGTAAGTGTAACAATTTCAGGAACATGAAGCTCGTTCAACACATATAGCCTTCCACATCTATGGCTTATCCCAATCAGCTACTTGGACAGTAGATCCTGCACAATACAACCAGTAGAAAAAAAGTGAACTAAAAATCTCGAATCAAACAACTAACAGAGAGTAAATTTAAAGTAAGTTGAGGAATATAATAGGCATCAGAAAGTGTAAGCTGAGAAGACACGATAGTTCCAACCCCAGCCAAAGACAATTGAGTGTCATTGGCTGCAAAAACAGATATAGAGGGAGGAGAAACAATATAGACAAATAAAGAAGAATTACTAGTCATATGATGGGTGGCTCTTAAGTCAAAGACCTAAGCAGTTCGAGATATACCTGATAGACCTGTAGTGAATGAACCTGCAAAGGGAAAAACTGATAGGGCACCTGGTTGATGAAGAGAAAGGAGCTTCTGCAATTGATCAGCTATCATAGTCATGCTAGAAGCTGATGAGAGTGACTCATCCACTGGTGAAGCAGCTGCTGTTGTATGACGATCTTTGGGCTTAAATGGTTGATGTAAGGCCCCCTTGACATTCTTGTTCACCAATTTAGGACATCGAGCCTTCCAGTGACCCTTCTCGCGACAAAAACTACACTCATCTGAAATAGCTCGACCCCGATATTTAGTTTGTGAAAAAGAAGTCCCTTTGGGTGGTATAGCCAGTACAATTTGATTAGGCAATAGAAGAAGAGTCTTTCCAAAAAGAGTCTTAAGACAAACTTCTTCAACCAGAAACTCATTCACTACTGTATCAACTGTGGGAAGTGGAAGACGATGCAGAATAGAACCACGAAGTCCCTCAAAGTCATCTTTAAGTGCAATCAAAAACTGTACCAACTGCTACTCCTCGCTAAAAGTACTATAAACCATAAAAGTACTTAGTTCAACAGGTTCAGCAAATGCTAACTGATCCCAAAATTCATTCATAACCGAGCAGAACTCCTGTATGGTCTTATCACCTTGACGTGCAGCTCGAATTTCATGCTCAAGCTGATATCTCTTTACAAAATTGAACTGAATAAACAATGTAACTAAATAATCTCAAATCTCCTTGGTTGTGTTAAACTTAACCAAATGCACACCAATGGTCTAATCAACTGAGTTGTCAATCCGAGTAATGATTTTAGCATTATAGATTTCTCAGGTATTCTTTAAGTCGGTATATCTCTCTTCCTTCGGATCTATTGGAGCTTGCAATGCACCACTAACATAACTCCACATCTTTTTTCCCAACAAGAAATTCTTCATAACATAAGACTAATATACATAATTTTTACCATTTAATCTGACACTAATAGCCTGAAGAGAATTAGAATGTTCACTTGCAATAATGTTAACAAAAAAGAGTCAATGCTCACAGCAAAATAATACTCTAAATAAAGCAAAAGACAGCAATCAGATGCACCGTCATAACTGGAACCAACCGGCCTGTTCTTACGGTGAACAGTAGTCCAAAACAATCAAACCAGTCTAAACCAAGAACAGAAAAAGGAGCAAAAGGAACTGAGTATTAAAACAGTCAAAACCCAATCAAAACAATCAAAACCCAAGCTAAGTAATAACTGAACACCCAACAAACCTCTAGACCAACAAACCAACCAACGAAACCAACAAAACAACAAACCAAACATAAAAGGAACAAATTGCTTATCTGGGTAAAGGCTAAACCCGAAATAGATAAAGAACCGAACCTGAAAGAGAGGACCCAGACAGAATTCGGACCCTTCGTATTCAACCTCTGGACGAACCCCTACCAAACGAAACCCCCAAGCCACCAGACCAAAAATCTCGTCTTCAACCTCTGATTTTAGCGAAACCTCCAAGCCAGCAACAATCTATTCAATCATCCACAGCAAGAACTCAATCGCTACTCCACGGGGAAAATGATCGATTTACTCGATCAACTATTCAACAACAAAAGACTGTGGTCGACGAACAGTGGAGGGCAATATCACCGACGAACGACGGTGGTCAATGAACAGTGGTCGATAAACAGTGATACCTGTCGATGAAGAGCAATATCACCTCGCCAGGTAACTCCACCTCAACGGTGGCTCTGATACCATGATAATATTATTAAGGTTAATCAAACATAATGATCCAACAATTACAAGAATACACAATGTAGGCTCTTATATATTAGGGCAACAAAATAATATAAACTGCCTAAACTATCCATAATATAAATACTCTAACTTAGACTTCTTGTCCACTCTTTTGATTGTTGTACTTATTATTATTATGATTAATACAATGTTTTGTTTCTTATCCAAAAAAAAAAATTAGATAAACATAACTAACCCTTATAATTAATAAGATCAACAAAATCACAATTTCTAATCGTGACAGAGTAAAGACCCTATTGAAAAGAAAGGCTAAGTGCTCTCAATTTACTGATTATATCAAATGGCAAAGGATGAACATTTTTCTACATTTTATGCAAATAATACGTCATACAACACAATCATTAGAAGTAACTTGAACAAGAAACATTAGTAGTGACTTAAAAACATTATAAACATGTCACAATAAAGAGTTCCAGAAAGTACCCAAATTAACTGTCAAATAAACTCAAACTCATTGTTCAAATGGTATTGACAGGATGTACCAAAACAAAACATGACGTTAGAAAGGAAAAGTAGGTTTTCATCAAATAGATGTCCATTGCGGATAATCTGTAAAAGAAAAAGTACAAACAATAGTGGGCGGTAAAAAAAATTGAAAGAATGAACAAAATCTATGATTGCAAAAATGTATCTTTCAATTTGGGGGTTCTATTTATGGAAAATGCAGTTTAGGGGTAACCCATTGCTAAACTCTCACGCCCAAGTGGCGGTGGCACGGTTGTCCTTGGTGTTAGTTTTGTGATGGTGTTTGTATGTGTGTGTGTCTACTAAGAGAGAAGAGAGGATGCGAAACTCTTTGAGAAATTTCCTCAAACATGTGGTGGTCAAGGTAGGTGTGGGCTGTAAACGGTTGTTGGGAAGGAGAGTACCAGAGGATGAAGAGAGAAACATGGGGGGTCGCTACTCGCTAGTAACTGGTGGTTGTGGGCAAGGAGTGTTGCCGGTGGTGTTTCGCTGGGCAAACGCAGTGGGCAGAGGCGGTGGAGAGAGAGGGGGAATGCAAGGAGCAAAGGGAGGGGGAGAGAGACCTGACTTCTTGTCGTTTCTCACTATATCTGTTGTGGCTACTACCGGTGATGGGTAGCAGGAGGAGAGAGGAGAGGAGAGAAAGGGTTTGTGAAAGAGGTATGGAGGAGAGAGAGGAGACGCTGGAGAGATTTTAGAGTTGATTGATATGCGGTATAATTGGGGGTTAATTATTTTAGGGCTTTTAGAATAGGAAATTTTTGGGCAGGAAAGTAGATTTTCAACAAATAATATTTGTCTGTTGATTCAAAATGCCTTGTACTAGTAAGTTTTATTCAAAGCTAATTTTCCCACGGATGCAAGTAGTAAGTTTTATTGATGGGAGCTGCAAAAGCTTGGTTTTGTAAATCTTGTGATTTATATGCACACTCTTTTTTCTTAACACCACCCCCCCCCCCCCAAAAAAAAAAAAAAAAAAACCCCACAAAAAAAGAAGCATACTCAATTTCTTTTATAACTATTCTTTCTTCCAGATGGGGGAGTCACTGGTCCCATTAGTTTCTTGTCTTATATATTCTTTTTTTGAAGCTTGATGCATTTATGTTCATAGTCGTTCAGTATCTACCATGTGAAATGAGTGATTCACATGGTAGAAAATTGGTGGAACATAAGCAGGAATGTCTTTGTGGAAATAAGATGAAATTGTGCCCAGGAAAAGTATATAAAAAAGGTTTGAAGCATGCACTATCAAATCAGCAACTAAGCATTACGGTATTGCTGCTAGCATAACCTTTGATACGAATATATGATAGAAGCAAAAGAAAGGATAATTCTTTTTTCTGTGTTTGTGTTAACATTGTTCTCACAAATATTTTGAAATTCCAATTCAAGAAAATAATGAGTTATTTGTACAGAAGGAGAGTCTTTTTTAGAAAGGAAATTGCACTCTCAATGTTGCAGGTGCGAAAGCTCCAGAGGGCTTGTCTGAGGAATCCTGTGAAGGCATGATAATATACTTATTAGCATCGTTTTATTTCCAGATGGTTTCCTTCATAAACATAAAGGAAAAAAAGTGTATCATTCCNCTTGTCTGAGGAATCCTGTGAAGGCATGATAATATACTTATTAGCATCGTTTTATTTTCAGATGGTTTCCTTCATAAACATAAAGGAAAAAAAGTGTATCATTCCTACTTTTCATTCTTGAAAGATAGAAAGTGTATCCCTCCTACTTTCCATCCTTCTTACCAAACGGAGCATAAAAGAAAAAAAAAATATTAAACCAAAGCTGCTCTTCAATCCCTTTGAAGATTCGACAAAGATAAACCTCTGAACCTTAGACCATAAAGGAGTATGAAAAACAATTCTTTCCCAAACCAAATGGAATGTAAGGAATTGATTTCCATATATCCTGGAATTCCTCTCTATCAAAATATTCCAAAAAATAGCTATCAAAACACAACTCCACAAAATCTTGCCTTCTTTAATCTCAAATGCTCTAAATGTAGTCCACATTATATCCTCCACATAAGCCGAACAAACTTATGCCTCACCAAACACAATAAACAATTTATTCTACAATCCCCAAGCGAAAGAACAGTGAATTAAATAAATGAGCATTGGACTCTTCATGCCTCTTGCAAGTAGAGTATCAGGACTTAGCTTTATGAGTTCGTCTCACCTGCAACATACTGTTAATATTATCCTATTGAGCACAATAGACTAAACAAAAGCCTTTACTGTAAAGGGACTCTTTGCCTTCCAAATGAATTTATCAAAAGAAAAAGGATGATCAGTATGGGAACTAGGAACTAACAAGATGGAGTAAAAAGATTTACAAGAGAAAATATCTGAATTATCCTTGATCCAGTCAGAGAAACGTGAATGAGCTTTTTGATTAATGTCAGTGATAGTATATATATCCTGAGCTTTCTGATTTCTCTGATTGGGACGATGATGCGTCTGACACTTTTATCCCATCATGTTTATGTGTATTTGATAATGCTTTATGTTGTTTTGAATATCAATCACGTTGTTGACATCCTTTTTTAACATGTACACGTTTTGAATAACTTATGTTTTTTCGCAGCTTAATAAACATTAATGTCGACATGATCAACATTACAAATAAAATTTTATTTTTATTTTATGTATGCATTTATAGTTATATAATAAAAAAAATTAATTATATGTATACGTTTTCAGTTTTTTAAGTTTCATATGCTAAAAAGTATAAGTATATTTAAATTATCAAAATTTATTTATTGAATGTAATTAAATTTTTAAATACATAAAAAAAATCATCGTCTCAAAAATAANTTTATTGAATGTAATTAAATTTTTAAATACATAAAAAAAATCATCGTCTCAAAAAGAAAGGGAGCAAAACATTTTTAGAAATTAAAATTAATTAGAAATTGATTAAAAATTATATTTATTTGATGCTTTTGCAATATTTTATAAAACAAAATACAGTAAATTTCATAGTTAGTCATGAATTTTATCTCTAATTTCAAGTTAATTCATGAACTTTCACTTGTCTTGTTTTAGTCTCTCAACTATCAATGATTTAATTGAAATAAAATTGATAATTGATGGATTAAATTAAAAAAAATTAAAATTTTAGGGACTACATTAAAATCCGAGAGAAAATGATAGGAGTCACTTATGATAATTACCCAAATAAATATTAATTTATTTTTTTATTCAAGCATTAGATTTTTTAATTTTTGTATTCAAGCATTTTGGACTAATTTATTTTTTTATTCAAGCATTAGATTTTTATTCAAGATTTTTTTATTTTTTTATCCAATCATTTTCGACTAATGTTCTTTTAGTTAATAAAATAGGCATATGTGGAGGCAGCATTCATTGACGTGATGACAAAATTTGTGATAAATTTTAATATAATTTTTTTATTTAGGCATGGAGGCAACAGNAGATTTTTTTATTTTTTTATCCAATCATTTTCGACTAATGTTCTTTTAGTTAATAAAATAGGCATATGTGGAGGCAGTATTCATTGACGTGATGACAAAATTTGTGATAAATTTTAATATAATTTTTTTATTTAGGCATGGAGGCAACAATCTTTTTAAGTTATATGGACTTTGTGAGCTTGGTCTGAGGCGTTCAGATTTTAAAACAAACGCGTCATTTGGACTGATGCTTCTTCTAAAGACGTCAGTCCAACTAACATGTTTAAGCAGTATATTGGGTCTCATAATAAGCTTAAAAACGTCAGTTGGTCTTACGTTTTTAAGTTAAAGACGTCAAACCAACTGACGTCTTTTGGCTTAAAAACGTCAGATCAATTGACGTTTTTAAAATGGCCTGGGTTTGGAAAATATTTTGAAACCCACCTTTATTTGGGACTTTTTTTTTAAAAGACCATGGGATGGGTCAAAAGCTCGGCAAACCTAGATATTTAATAGGTCACTCATGTATTACACGACTGGCCACAATAGAAAAACTTTTCACAACCTCATCCACCAAATTAATTCTCGCCACTCCATTCTTTGATATATTAATTTTCAATCCAAAAAATTTTAACAACAAAAGCAAATTTTCAAAAAGAATATTGTATAATCAACAAACTACAAATGTGACACACTTACCCTTTCACCACCACCCCCAGCACACTCTTTCATCCCCTCCACTAAACTCACCTCTTTAGTTCTATAAAACATTTTACTTAAAACATCAACCACCATAGTGAACAGAAAAAGGGATAATGGGTCCCCTTACCTTAACCCCCTAGAAGCATTAAACCATTCTTTAGGTTCACCATTCACTAACACTGAAAAGTAGAAGAAAAACACCCTCTAATCCACTTTCTCCATCTCTCCCGAAGTCCTTGCTTTCTCATCACGCCATCCACAAAATTCTAATTTATTGTGGCAATCTATGTTTTGTCACACATCTTTTCAAGTACCTTTCTACTCGACAAAGCCTTTTTCTCATCCTTTTTGAGATTGTGACATGTGTCAAGTCCTATTGGGTTGGGTTTTTCTTGTGTTTTTTTTTTTGGGAGGGGGGGGATATGACCACTATAAAATTGTGAACTTTTGAAAGTTCGGTTGTTTTGCTTGGAGTAAGGTCCATTGCTTCTTTTCTAAATTGATTCAAATCAAGGGCATTTTGATCATTTGTACAATTCACTCACTTTGACAGGTAAGCTCAATTCATTTTAGTGTGAGGGATGGATTTACCAAAATGATAAAGTTTGATCTATGAAGCCCAGAGCAAAACATTTGTTCAGTATGAGCTTGATCGAGCACATCTGTGTTAGGAAATTCACATGAAATTCTCAAACCTGAAAGAAACAATAATAGAGAAAACACACGCCAAAGAAAAACAATCACGCGCACAAGACAATATTTATGTGGTTCGGCAATTTGTCTACGTCCACAAAGCTGCAAGAGTTTCACTATTCTCAAGAATGATTACAGAGACGGCGGCGGCCGTACAAAGTCAATCAAACCCTAATCACCCAAAAGAAACAGGTTTTATATTTCTTGCACTGGGCTACAAACAAACAGGCCCAAGCCTTCGCTCCATGGAGTAAGCCTCAGAAAATTTTTCATTAAAAACCACGCAACATTTTTCGGGTCGAGTTATCATCCAGATCAACATAAAAAAACTAGACTCTACAAAAAAAAAAACCCAACAAATCTCCCACTTGGAGACTAGTTCAATCACCAACATCAATTGCAATCGTCCTAAGAATAGTCCCTCATCCCTGCAACTTATCTTGATGTCCTCAAGCTAGAAGGTCAACTGAAGCTACACACAGCTTCAGCTTCTCAATAGTGACGACCTTGGTCAACATGTCTACCGGGTTCTTAGTTCCACAGATCTTCTCAAGTATCAACTGACCATCATCAAGCAAGGACCGTATGAAATGATACCTTATTTGAATGTGCTTCGTCCTGGAATGAAACGCTGGATTCTTGGCAAGGAATATGACACTCTGACTATCACTGTAAAGAGTACCCTTCTGGTTTTTTTTTACCCAGTTCCTCTAAGAAACTCTGTAACCAAATCATCTCCTTTGAAGCCTCTGGCATTGCAACATACTCGGCCTTTGTAGTAGAAAGGGATACTGTTTTCTGCAAGT